CCTTCCTTCCTTCCTTCCTTCCTTCCTTCCTTCCTTCCTTCCTTCCTCCATTCCTCCCTCCCTCCTCCTTTAATTTCTTCTTTCCTTCCTTCTCTCTCCTTCCTTCCTCTCTCCAATCTTTCCTCCCTCCTCCCTTAATTTCTTCTCTCCTCCCTCCCTCCCTCCCTCCCTCATCTCTTTGTTTCTTCGCTCTATTTTTCCTTCCTCTCTCCCCATCTCCCTGCCTCCTTTCATTTCTTTCTTCCCTCTCTTCTTCCCTTCATCCCTCCCTTTTTTTCTGGATCAAATCTGCATCTGGATAAAATCAAAACCTAGATCAAACCCAGATCTGAATTAAATAAAAATCCAGATTAAAGATGTAGTGGGCCTTTGGTTTGTAAGACACTATTTTCATACATGCTGGCCTGCCTGCCTGTATATGCACGATAGAGGATCAGGAAGTCTTCTTTCCTCCCTCTCTTCCTCCCCTTCCTTAATTTCTTCTCTCCTTTCTCCCCCCTTCCTCTTCCCTTCTTTCCTCCCTCCCTCCTTCCCTCCCTCCCATCTGGATTTATTCCCCGCTCTTCTTCTCTCCTATGCTGTTTTGCAGGGGCTTTTTTCTCTATTATCCTTTGCTTTTTAACCTTTTAACACTTGCAAATCACCTAGATATCGCTGAGACAGGTAGTGTAGGAGATGATCAGACTGAGCCTGAGGTCAAGCACATCATCAGTCTCAATTCTCTTTGTGCCCACGAGAGAGCTAAGTCCAGCCCATTGTGAATTCCTTATCTACCACCAATTTGCTTTGACCGTTAGTAGTTCAGATTCTTGTAGAGAGCTTAAGCTTGCAATAAAATCTTTATAATTTGAACTTCCAGGACTCCTGATTTCTGGCTCTTGATCGGTAGTCCTCAACCTGCGACTACAGTTGGAATTGGAATTTCCATCATAAGCAAGACATGATCAGACCTGATTTGTGACCATCTTAACTGCGTCATTAAGTGAATCGTGCGATTGTTAACTAAATGTAGCTTCTCCAATTGACCTTGCTTGTCGAAAGCTGGCTGGGATGGCCGCAAATTCTGACCATAAAATTGCTACTGCCATAAATGTAAGTGTAAATGTAAATCAAACACTGTCATGCCCTGGTTGGAGTCTGATTCTGAGGGAGAGATTGAGCAGCTGACAGGGAGTGGGAGTGTGGAGACAGGTGGTGGCTGTGGAGGGAAGGGCACAGTCTGGCTGGGCATTCAGAGGAAGACTCAGGGCCACCCCCTCTTCATCCTAGGGCACGCAGGGAGGAATGGAGAAAGGAGCAAGGTGGCTTATGGGAGAGAAAAGGGCCCTGATCCCTTTCATTATTTGCAGCTGGGAGAACAGGATATAAGAAGGGCGTTTGCACACAGCATCTTGCTGGAAGCAAAGCGTGCATTATCTTTGTCGAGGCTTATCTGGGTTTTGGCGTTCTCCCAACTGGGTGTGCTTAGTTATCTTTCGGAAGTGTGCAATGTATTATCCTGGCCTGTCGTGTTAATCACTTCAGCGTGTTGGGTTTTTTTATTTCTAATTTCTCTGCACTTTGGGTTCTTCCCTTTGTAGACTGTTTTTGGAAGAGTTTGATCTCCAGCCGAGGATAACTGGACATTGGGGGCCAAGCTGGAGGTATTAAAGGGAATTTATCTACTTTTGTGATTTTGTTATTTTTGTGCCATGTCCCAGGTCATCATAAAGGCTACCTGTATATAAATGGAAGACATTATTATTATTATTCAAGTAGGCCTGCTTTAGGCAGTTTGGTTTTGCTGCCCAGGTGCTACTAAAAGGAGTTTGATGGTGACACCGATGAAGCAGCCATGGCTATGTAGATTCCTCGAGACACAAATGATGATCAGACGCATCATGAGTTCCAGGAACTTTAGATGTAGGCCCGAAAAGGAATAATGGATGGAAACTGAACAAGGAGAGATTGAACCTGGAAATAAGGATAAACTTTCTGACAGAAAAATCAACCCATGGAACAGAAGTTGCCCTCGGAGGTTGTGGGAGCGCCATCCCTTGAGACTTTCAAGAAGAGATTGGACTGCCATTTGACAGAAATGGTGTAGGGTCTTCCGCTTGGGCGGGGGGTTGGACTAGATGACCTACAAGGTCCCTTCCAACTCTGTTAATCTTTTAAAATGTCGGTTTCCCACTGATGAATGAAGGCCTCAGCAGATGCCTTGGAGCAGAGGTTGCTAAATTTGGCAACTTTAATATTCATGGACTTCAACTCTCAGAATTCCCCTATTTTGGTATTGAGGAAACTTTAAGAGGGAGGGAGAGAGGGAGAAAAGATGAAAGGAAGGAAGGAAGGAAGGAAGGACATGGCTGGCTGAGGAATTCTGGGAGTTGAAGTCCACATGTCTTAAAGGGTCTGTGAGGAAGGAAAGGCAGTAACATGGAGGCCTGCCGTGATTGCAAAGATTGCTTGTGGCACTTCCTAACACTAGAGGCTCCCCAGGGGGATGCAAAGACTGCCGGCTTTGTTGCTTCCTGAATGATTTTGCCAGGTGCGTGCGACAGGCTTTGACACCTGAAATGGTTAAGATGAACATGGGCTAATTTGGTTCTCATCTAAATTTGGCTTTAGCCTTTTATTTCTTATTAGATTTCCTTCTCTGAGCGTGGTTTTGTAAATGTCAGCCTGACTTGCAAAGCTCCTGGGAAGCCACCTGGGTTAAAGAGTGCATAAAGGCAGCAGAAAAATGAATTAAATCCTAATACTCAATTTGAATTTCCTTTCCTTCCTTCCTTCCTTCCTTCCTTCTTCCCTCCCTCCTTTATTCCTTCATCCCTCCCTCCCTCCCCATTCCTCCCTAGCTCCCTCCCTCTCTATTTCCCTGCCTCCCTTCTCCCCTCCCTCCCTTCCACCTTTCCTTCCTTCCCTCCCCCTCCCTCCATCCTTAGCTCCCTTCCTCCCTATTTCCATTTCTCCTTTCTTTCTTTCCTTCCTTCCACTTCCTTCCCTCCCTCCCCCTTCCCTTCCTCCCTAGCTCCCTTCCTCCTTTCCTTCCTCCCTATTTCCCTCCCTTCTTTTCTTCCTCCCTCCCTCCTTCCCCTCCCTCCTTTATTCCTCCCTCTCTCCTTCCCTCCCTTTCTTCCTTCCTTCCCCCTTTCCCCCTTCCCTCCATCCCTAGATCCTATCTTTCCTCCTTATTTCCCTCCCTCCTTCCCTCCCTTCCTCTCCCCCTCCCCTTTTCTTCTTTCCTTAAATTCATTGCTTCCATCTAACCCTCCCTCCCTCCCTCCATCCCTTCCTCGACACCCATCCATGTTTCCTTTCTTCCCTCCTTCCTTCCCTCATATTATTTCCCCGAAACCAGAATAGCAGTTTCCCCCTTTGCCCGTTATACGGTCTCTCTCCCCGCCTACCCTTCCCCAATTCCCGCTACACCATCTCTGCAAGGAGATGGACAGGCTTCCCAGCGAGAGCCAGGATCTCAGCGCCCGTCTATCCGTCCGAGTGTGCAGCAGTTGGCCAGGGTGTGTGCGTGCGTGTGTGTGTGTAGAAACCACAGTGCCATTACATCATAGTGTGAACTGATCTTCCCAAGGGGGTGGGGGTGGGGGGGTTGTTTCTGGGAGGGTAGGGGAGGGGGAGGACGGGACTGATGTGCTGTGGCAGGGATGATAGGAGTTGAGTTGGAGCAAGAGTCATCCGAGCACTCTAAAACCACTTAGCCAGACCATCCACAGCAGGGCAAGCTGACAGAATCCAAGCATGATCCTCGTCGGGAGGAATCGCCCTCCGAGAAGCCAGCCATGAGCAGCAAGGTCACCGCAGTCACCCCTCTCCCTTCCCCAGCCCCCCCTGCTGCCCCCCTCAGCCCCCCTTCTCCCCTGGGGGAGGAACAGGAGGTGGTCACCACCTTTTGCACCCTACTCCCCAAGATGCCCCAGTGGAAATTCTCCAGCCCGTCCGGCTTTCTCAGCCGCAGCCCGTCCAGTGCCAGCAAAGACCTCTCGGCATCGGTCAAAAGCGGCAGCCTGGCAGAGGCCGAGGGTATCACGGTGCCCTCGTCGGCCTCGGGGTCAGGCCTGGCTGCTGTCCTCAGTGCCTGCGAACCGGTCTGTGCCACACCCTGCAGCAGACTGAAAGGAGGGGCGGCCGGGGGCAGGAAGACGCCACGGGCCCCGGGGCCCCGAGCCCCTGGGGAGGAGTGGAGCCGGAAAGGAAGTTTCATCAGCAAACCGGTCCAAGGTTGGCTGCATCCCGATGACAGAGTTTTAGGCCCCGGCGTCTCCTACATCGTCCGGGTGAGTAGCCTTTTGTCTATTTTTCCCCCATCAATCAAACGAAGCCGCTGAGCTTATCTTGGCTTGGTGAGGACGTTGCCTGGGATCTAATTCAATGTTTGTTTGTTTGGGGGGGGCGTTCTGCAGATTTTGGGGTGGGCTTGCCACATTTAGCAAGTGGGTCTACCCAGTAGACGGCCCTAGATTTATCCCTGCCCATCAATCCCCAAACAGGAAGCATTTGGGCTTTGATTTAGCAGAACTATTTTGCTGTTTTATCTACCTCTTGTAAAGCGCTCAGGTGGGCTTTTTGTGATATGATTCCGTCTCCATCTCTCTGAAATCTTTGGAAACTGCCCTCCGCAGATGCTCAGAGGCAATCTGGAATATAGTTTGTCATCCACTGTTGTGTCCCTGAAATGTGTAATTTGTTCTCGTGGGTTACAGGCAAGAGGTGATAGAATGGCTACTCGGAGCATATTCAAATTCAGAATATTCTGAGCATATTCAAGACTCTAGCTCTTTTTGTTAGAAGCTGGTCCCATTGCCCCATCATTATTTTAATTGGTGTTTTGGCCTGGAACGACATCAGTAGCAGAATATAAACCTTCATTTTGAACGTTAAGAAGTAAGAGGCCATCTATAGATTTAGATGGGGCTGAATACAATTTACGAAGTCTATCTCAGTTTCTCTTGAGTTATGGATTCCAAGATTGCTTGTTTACATTCTGGAAATTTAGAGGATTGGGAAGAACAATTTGGGCTGTGTGTGTGATATTGGGTAGCCTTGAAAGAGAAAGGATCATTTGCAGACAGCTCTCTAAACTGTAAATAAAACCCTTAATAAGGCCACACCTGCATCCAGTTTTGCATCTAGTTTTGGTCACCACATTACAAAAAAGATGTTGAGACTTTGAAAAGAAAAACTAAGATGATGAAAAGCCTGGAGACTAAAATAATATTTCAATATTTGAGAGGCTGCCACAAAGAAGAGGGGGTCAATTTATTTTCTAAAGCACCTGAAGGCAAGAAAAGAAACAGCGGATGGAAACTAACCAAGGAGAGAAGCAACCTGGAATTAAGGAGAAACTTCCTGACAGTGAGAAAAATTAACCAGTGGAACAACTTGCCACCAGAAATGGTGGTTGTTTCATCACTGGAGGTTTTTAAGTAGAGACTGGACAGGCCACTTGTCTGGAACAGTATTCAGGGGTCTCCAACCTTGGGCACTTTAAGCGTGAAGGACTTCAACTCCCAGAATTCCCAGCCAGCTTTGAATTCTGGGAGTTGAAGTCCTCCACGCTTAAAGTGCCCAAGGTTGGAGACCCCTGGTATAGAGTCTCTTGCTGGAGTAGCGGGTTGGACTAGAAGACCTCCAAAGTCCCTTCCAGCTGTATTCTGATTAATCAAAAAAGGCAAGGTCAGAAAGCAGGGCTAAAATCTGAATAAAAGAGAATCATGTCTTTGAATAACACAGTCTCCTCAATGCCTCATTTGGAAAGAACCAATTAGCAGATGGAATTGCACAACTAACCCCTTGTTCTTAATTAATTTAAGGGTAATTTATGTTGACAGTTAAATTGGGCTAGTGAACCTCTAGAGTTCTCTTCATTTCCTCATCTGGCCTAGCCCAGGAACAGATTATCAATTATTCCTTGTTCAATTTAGATTTCAAGGAAGAAAGCACCGAAGTGTTCCTGGTTCCTTCACAAGCTAGACACCAAAGTCCTCCATGCACAGCCTATGTTGATATCACAACAGCAAAACAAAACAATTTGTGGTCAAAGCTGGTCATTGGCTAGCATGGGATCTCTAAGGGCCATGTGTTGGCGGTTGAATACGTCACCTAGTCTAGTAGGTTCTAAGTGTTTACTTCTCCTTTTATTTACATGGGTTTGATCCCAACAAAGTAAATATTTAAATTTAATTTAATGAAAGGCTCTGGAGAAGATATTCTTCAGTCTTCTTGTAGAAAAAGTATAGAAAGAAATTCAGATGGGTCCTTTGCTTGTGAATTTACTTGGCTGTGAACTTCAAAACAGTACTGATAAGACAATTTTGTTGCAAATATATGTATGTATGTATGTATGTATGTATGTATCTGTCTGTCTGTCTGTCTATCTATCTATCTATCTATCTATCTATCTATCTATCTATCTATCTATCTATCTATCTATCTATCTATCTATCTATCCCAAAAATAGATTTGTATTAAACATTTACAAACAATAATATAGTGAAAACTTCTTCATTGTGCTTGGAAATTTCTATTACTGGGTTTCCCCTGCCTTATATATTTTTTGCCACCCCAAAAGGCACCAGGTCTTATTTTCAGGGGACGTCATCCACTGACTTACCTCACTTGCATGCATTGCCCCCGGCTTCCTTTTTGCAGTCAGAGGCCTTCAGGAGCTACTTCTTCTGAGGCCAGGAAGGCTTTCCTGAAGGCCTCTGTAGCCCATAAGAGAAGTCTGGATCGATCCAGAGCTTTTGTTATCAGCTACAGAGGCCTTCAGGAAAACCTTGCCAACCTTGCCGGCTTCAGAAGATTTTAAAATGGGTTGGCAGGGGTGTGAGAGGCCTGGCTACAACTGTCCAAAGTAGGGTAGCTCCACTACCCCCATCCCCATCCTAGCTTAATTTTTACCCATGTACTCTGGTGTGGGTGGGATCTTAATTAGGGGGTTAGGGCTTATATTGGGTGCACATGCAAAAATAAAGCTAAGACTTACTTTCAGGGTAGGTCTTATTTTTGGGGAAACAGGGTACTTTTTAAATAACATAAGAATAACTTAAAATGCTCTACCTGGTATCTTGTGTTAACGTTCTACTGAGCAATAATTGTGCCATCACAATCATTATCTGTTTGTTTATGGACAATCTCTCTTTTGAAAACACATTTTTGTTTTAAATAACATAAAATATAAAGAGACTCTCTCTCTGAGGGAGATTCGGAAATGTGGTCAATAAAAACAGACACGCAGACTGTTAATGTACCTTTTAAAAGAGAGAAATAAATATCTGTTTATACTGTGTTCTTGCTAAAAACAACAAGGGCCTGCTACTTTGGGGTTGGCTGACGGGACAGAGAAGGTTCTCACCTTTAGGCTGTCCATTATTTTGGTTTTTAATTTTAATTTTTAATTTTTATTCTATTTTAATGGTTTTTCACAGTTTTTAACTTTCATTATATTATAAGCTGCCCAGAGTCTCCGTACAGGTAATCCTTGACTTATGACCATAACTGAGCACAACTTTTCTGTTGCTAAGCGAGACAGTTGTTAAGGGAGTTTGCCCCATTTTATGACCTTTCTTGCCAAAGTAGTTAAGTGAATTGCTGCAGTTGATAAGTTAGTGATATGCTTGTTAAGTGAATCCCCATTGACTTTGCTTGTGAGAAGGTTGCAAAAGGTGATCACATGATCTCAGGACACTGCAACCGTCATAAATGTGAGTCAATTGCCAAGCAGCTGAATTTTGATCATGTCACCATGCAATGGTTGTAAGTGTCACAAACGTTCTTAAATCACTTTTCTTAGCACTAAACAGTTTTAAGTTGATAATTACCTGTATTAGTGAGATGGATATCATAGAAATCCCACAGACAGACAGACAAGACAGACAGACAGACAGACAGACAGACAAGGTTTTAACTCAAAACTGCAGGTATAGTATTAGTATCTATACCAGAGAGTCTCTTAAACATGGCGACTTTAAGGCTTGTGGACTTCAATTCCCAGAATTCCCCAACCACCCTGGCTAGCTGAGGAATTCTGGGAGTTGAAGTTCAGAAGTCTTAAAGTGGCCAACTTTGGAGATCTCTGATCTGTAATACAGAGAATAAAAATTTAAGATGTGAAACATTAATTCTTGTCTTATGAACGATGGCGAGATGAGATTACTTAACAATAAAAATGCACGAAAGGGGTTTCATTGCAGTTCTGGTTTAATAGAGTTGGGACTTTGCTTCTGTATAAAAATGATTTACAAATTATTGTAAAGCCATTAGGTGCAGAACAATAGAGGGCATTGAATGCAGATTGGCAGGGCTTCAATTCCTTCTTGAAGAGTTCAATATAACTAGACTTTGGCACTAAAATCATTTCAAAAACTTTAGGAAAAATGAATTGCATTGAAAAAAAATGTATATACTTTTTGAAGTTATTGTAGGGGGAAATAATCAGTATTTGTGTGTGTGTGTGTACACATGCACACATATTGGGGGATCGGCAAGGTTTTATTTATTGAGAGGTAGTTTGGCCTAGTGGTTAAGGCACCAGACTAAAAAGCAGGAGATGATGAATTCTAGTCCCAGTTTAGGAATGAAAGCTGGCTGGGTGATTTTGGGCCCATCACCAGGAGACGGTGAGTTCTAGTCCTGCCTTAGGCATGAAAGCTGGCTGGGTAACTTTGGGTCAATAACTAGGAGATGGAGAGTTCTAGTTCCACCTTAGGCATGAAAGCTGACTGGGTGACTTTGGGGCAATCACCAGGAGACAGTGAATTCTAGTCCCACCTTAGGCATGAAAGCCAAATGAGTGACTTTGGGCCAATCACCAGGAAATTGTGAGTTCTAGTCCTGCCTTAGGCATGAAAGCATAAAGGCAGGCTGATTGTCGAGAGCCCCAAATGTGGACGCATCATTGGAACTTCAAAACTAAGTCGTAAGTACTTTTAGGTGGGGAGTCCAGGATGTTGCAAGGGTAGTAAATAAATTGCTGGTTGCCATCGTAACTTTGAATGATTGCTAAGCGACGGTCATACATCGAGGACTGTAAATGGCAGATCTTCTGCTATATATATTCAAATCATCCCCTCAAATGTTTTGAAGGCCTTTCCCACCTGGTTTTGAGACGGCTTGGGGGAAGGGTCTTCTCAACCAACGACAACCATTTTATGGAATTTTCTCGTTTGCTCCTTCTTTTGTGTCTTCTAAGAAGGTGTTAAATCTTTCAAGCTTTCCCTGGATATTTTACAACAGAGGTTATAAACTTCAAAGGCAACTGTTGTTTTTGTTTATCATTTGTTATGATGTTTTCCTAGCTTTTCAAGGAAATTTCAACATTTTACTGGTGATGTTTACACTGATTTACATAGCTCATTTGACTGGGATCAAGCAGAACAGATAAATAAATACTGTAAAAAAAATGGAATACAAAATAAAGCAAATCACAGCCCTGGGAAAACCAAAGCTGATGATTTGTATGTTTTGTTTGCCGTGAATTGCAAAACAGTTTTAAAGCTTCCCTGTGACAGCTGCTGAATTATGAAAGGACGACACAGCCTCCCTTGCTAATTCCCAGTAATCACACTGGGGTGCTATCTATGTAACTCTGAAATTCGATTGAGGAAGTCAGAGATTAAACTTTAACAGCAAAAACCATTAAACCAGCTTGAAGCTCGGGCTATATTTATTTTTTATTTATTTATTTGATTTGTCAATCAAATAAAGATACTAGGTATAAGTATAAACATGAGTAAGAATACAGGAAATAGATACGAATAAATGGGGACAATAGGACAGGGACGGGAGGTACGATGGTGCGCTTATGCACGCCCCTTACAGACCTCTTAGGAATGGGATGAGATCAATAGTGGATAGTTTAAGATTAAAGGAGTGGTGGCGTTAGAGGATTTAATAACAGAGTCAGGTAGTGCATTCCAGGCATTGACCACTCTGTTGCTGAAGTCGTACTTTCTGCAATCAAGTTTGGAGCGGCTTACATTGAGCTTATATCTGTTGTGTGCTCTTGTATTGTTTACTCTTATTCATTCATCCATTCATTCATTCATTCTGATCAACTGTGCAGACCGACAATTGAATAGAAAGGGTTTTTATTTTTATCTTCATTGGTTGGCAAGATCAGCTGACCACCATTAAACCAGGATTTCATTCAAGAGTGCACCCGAGGGCTATGCAACAGATCTGAGCTAGGTTAGTGTTTCTCAACCTTGGCCATCCTAAGACTGGTGGACTCCCAGAATTTCACATTCCTCTCCCCCACACCCCCAGGAGAAGTAGCTTCCAGGAGAACCCACTTAGAATAGAATAGAGTAGAATAGAGTAGAGTAGAGTAGAGTAGAATAGAATAGAATAGAATAGAATAGAATAGAATAGAATAGAATAGAATAGAATAGAATAGAATTCTTTATTGGCCAAGTATGATTGGACACACAAGGAATTTGTCTTTGGTGCAAATTGGTTTCTTAGTTCAGAAAGGAGACTTTTTAAACAGATCACCCTCCAAAGATCACAGGACATACTTAGATTTAGGCTTAGAATAACTTTATTGTCACTTTGAATTGACTGTTATATATTGACTGTTTTCTAGTAGGATTTGATTGCTTATTGTACCCTATGACTATCACTAAGTGTTGGACCTGATGATTCTTGACTCTTGACGAATGTGTCTTTTCTTTTATGTTCACTGAGAGCATTTGCACCAAGGCAAATTCCTTGTGTGTCCAATCACACTTGGCCAATAAAGAATTCCATTCCATTCCATTCCATTCTATTCTATTCTATTCCATTCTATTCTATTCTTTCCTTATTCCTTGTTCTATTCTATTCTATTCTATTCTATTCTACTCTACTCTATTCTACTTTATTCTATTCTATTCTATTCTATTCTATTCTATTCTTTCCTTATTCCTTATTCCTTGTTCTGTTCTATTCTATTCTATTCTATTCTATTCTATTCTATTCTATTCTATTCT